GATATTCTCTTTAGCTGTGCTGTGGGGGCAAGGCACAACTAGAGGCGGAGGGATAATGGAGACTTTGTTAACAAAGTCCTGCAGGTAGAAAGAGGCGGAGGGATTTGAGAGATGTTAGAGGCTGGCGCTGACAACGACCTGGGATTGGTCAGATGGGGCAAGTGAGGGGAGGGAAGAGCCGAAGTCAAGGATGGGCGTGACTTCCCGGCCTCTGGGACATGATCTCAGTAACGTGGAGCTTCTTAGCCTGAGAGAGCCCTTCCTAGGTTGCTTTGCCTTGACATCAGGCTGAACCTGCCATCCTCCACATCCCTCGCCTTGCCACAGAGGGGGCAACAGTTGTCCTTTGTCACTGAAGTGCCTATCTGGGTAGAAGCCAGTGTGGACTTTGGACCTCAGACATCAGAAGATGGTTCCAGTATGTGTTAAGCAACTCAGAAAATGAGGCACATTGCTGCCCAGAGTATCCAAGGTGTTTTTTGGACTGTCACTGTTGCTACATTTTTATTTTTTAAATCTTTCTTTTTAGTGGATGAAGCTAAGAAATATGTTTTTTTTTCAACAAAAAATAGAAGTTTATGCCAGTATTCAAGTTCAAGTGTAGTATCATCAGGTTGTTCACTGCCCTGATTTTTAATTATTTTTTTCCTTCTCATGGTGAAAGTTCTGTGTCATGATGACATTAACATGATCACTTATTTGCTTTATCTTATAAATTAGTTGTGTAGAGAATAATAGTGCTATTAGTACTGACAGTAAAATCATCGAATAAAAGTTATGATTTCTCTGCAGTGATTATAATATATCCCAGTGGGTATATGTAGTCAAAATATTGTTTAAAGTCAATTGAAATAGTCCTTTTCTTTGTAGTGTCTGCACCTATTTGGTATACGGAGAGGTTTATTATTTCCATCTGTTTTCTATATTTGATGTTACAAGCAAATATGTATATACATTTATATGTCTTTTCCCTTTTGTACAAAATATAGCATACCATAAACATTGCTAACTACCTTGCTTTTTCCTCTTAACAACATATGCTGGAGATCACTCACTGAGAGGATAAGGCTATTGTTTTTACTTCTTTTTATAGCTGTACATTACTGCATTGTGTGGTTTAGCATAGTTTATGAGTATTTGGGTTGTTTCCAATCTTTCCTATTATAAATAATGTTATAGTGAATCACCATAGGCATTCATCACTTAGTGCTATGGCTACAGGGCAGGGAGGGGGCTCCCAGAACCCCCAAACCTGACCTCTCTAAGTAGGTTCTGTTATCTTCCACAGTAAGACAAAATATACTCTATTCATTAAGACCTTTAATGGAAAGAAATTTTAATTCAATTAGTATTCAATGAAAATAAGAGAAGGGAAAGAATAGATAAAATAGTTTCCTAGTTCATACACCCAAAGTTACCCACACCCTCACGGGTCAATGCCCAGTCAAACAGGGTTGGCCCAAAGCAGGGCCACTGACGCCAAAAGCCTACCCCAAGTCTAAGACACCTGCTGGTGGGGACCTGTAGGAAAGGGGCAGAATGTGCCCATCTTGTCTCGGACAGAAGGAGCAATATCAAAATCAGGATGCAGTTTTTGACTTTCATCTATTACAGCAAAACAGATAACAGGCAGTTAAAACTGGGCATGATGTAGGCCATGGTTGGGATTGGCAGAGTCAATGTAGGGGAATACAAAATAGCAATAATGGTTCATCTTTTGGGTGGTACTTGGTGTCACATCCAATAAATGTTAATTTAATTTTTGAACAACCCTATGTAGTAGGTGCAGTACTGAACTCCCATTTTACAGATGGGGCCGTTGAGGCAGAGAGTTTAAGCAGTTTGCTCAAGGCCACACAGCAGGGCACTGGCACAGCCAAATCATTGCTCTCTGTTTTTTTTTTTT